TTTTCGATTAGAGAAAATTTCTGTTATGTTTAAACCAAAATAATAAAGCATTAAGGTCCCTGATAAAGATGGATTCACAGGGTTTTTGTCTCAGTTTTATTTCGATCGTTGAAAAATAATTTATTATGCTTTTCTGGAATATAATCTCAGATGATATAGAAATACAATTTGGATTTACAATTGCTATAGAGATGCAAAAAACTAACGAGATGCCATTTTTGCGATAGTTTAGATAATACTGCGTACCATCAATTTATGTAATAATTATAATTTAAAGAAGTTGTTTAATTACCGATTCCTATGCATATTTCGAAAACAACCTTGACGAAAAAATATACAGAATTCTATATTGATAGTTCAAAGAATAACGGTCTCGATACCACTTAGTTCATCAATGTTATGAAATTTAGAAACGTATAGGTTTTGGAAAATAAATCATACTACAGTTGGGTGTAGAATCAACGTTGCGAATCATATCAAAATTTTCTCACGAATGCAGGAAAATTACTTAGTCGATATTTTGAGTGTCAATGAAAATGACGATAATGATAGTGAAGATGACAATAGCAACAACTACTCTTACACACTCCATCAGTAAATTTGATAGTATTTATTTCAGTTTGACCTACTTTGTAAGATACCTGAGTGTCATTATTCTTTGAGAAACATATTTTGGTCAGGAATAAAACGTAGCATCAAAATGTTTTTCAACACAGTGTGAGCGTAGGTGAGTCTGGTTTTCATCGGCACTCCCACCTACCTCCTGGATAGGTATCTGAGTGTATACTTGCTAATTATCCATGGGTTCAGATGATTGTCAGCATAGTGCACAATCAAGATTCTGTGATGTACTGGTAACAGAGTATTCGACAAACTACTTTCCTAACAACTGACACAGTACACGGATAGATTGAACTCAGTGCATTCATTAGACCAGCTATAGCTTTTATCAAAGAACATTTTTCGATTGTACTTTTTCACATATAATTATTGCCTTCGTGCATTTTTTTCCTCGTGTACATACTGTGGATATAGTTTGTTCGTATTAATATCTATAAACGAATTCTATTTATTAGATGTTAGATTTCATAATGATAGAAAACATACATAGAATATTGTATGGAGCATAATACTAGTCAATAAATTAAGCCGTATAGAAGAAAAACGGTGTAAATCAGTCAATAGACGGTGAAAATATGGCTCTTATGCTGTTCATTGTTTTTTGACGGAAAAAGTTCTAAAAGACGCCACTTACCTTAAGACGAAAAATGGTCATCATCTTTTACTGCTGAAGACAAGCATTGACTCGCTCGAGGTGCTTGAAGATAATTCGATTAATCGTTTTATGTTACACTATAATCGTTTCTGTTCTCATAGTAATATCCAATTAAATGCAACAGTTAAATTGTTTTAATTGTCTGTAACACATCATTAGTTAAGCTTACGTTATTTCAATTTTTTGAGTCACACAAAAGAGGTTCTAGAAACTGTACAAAGCGATCAATAACTTCAAACAAGAACAAGTTATGAAAAACTATTTGTAAAAATGTTGGAGTTCAGATCGGTTTGTATTTTTTTATTGAAAAGACCGCGATTCGATTAGAACGCGAACCAATAAAAGTTTTTTTATCTAATCAATTGGTACCGTGCTAGAATATGTTTCCACTAGACTTTCAGAAGCTTTATAACATTCAGAAATCATTTATCTATTATTGAATACTTCGTGTGAAGTTATGCATCGTAAACGATTATTATATTATTTGATACATAGGACATACAAAAAGTAATAAGGTTTCAAAGAAATGAACCTAATAGAAACAAACTAATTAAGATTTTATTTGATGATCAATCGTTCGCATTAGTTATTCTACGATTGTTCACATCTAATTACATTTCATTGAACTAGCTATTAAAAGTTTTTTTTTCAAAATCATTTTTACTCAATAAATTAAGTTCCTTGTTTATGGAACAGTGCAAGAGTTCTGAGTTGTATTCATCTGTTCGCTTTTGTTTGACGAAATCACATAACCGAAAATAACATCATATCACATCTAGACAACCTATTGATTAGTGAATAATTATGATAAGTTTTGATTTGAGATAAGTTTTAATCATCTTTATGCATATATGGTTTGACATAACTGTAGTGAAAATTACCAGAACAGGTATCCAATTCTGTTCTTTGTTTTCTAGTGTATTGATAAAGGATTTTAAATGATTATTGATGGTAAATAGCGGTCAATTACTGATTCTTATTTGACATGACGGATGAATATGAAGCTCATTATTAGGGGTGACACTTTAAACTTAAAGTTAAAGGAAAATACTTTAAAACTTTAAACGTTAATTAAAGTGAAACACGTTAAAACTTTAACTTTAAAAAAAAGTTATAGTTAAAGTGCTCGTGCCATAGGTAAGAAACGACCATGTCCACTTCTTGGGTCCTCGTCTAGCTACCCTAACGGGGATACTTGGGTCCTTATATGGCTACACTAGCGGGGGTACTCGGGTCCTCATATAGCTATCCTAGGCGGAGTACTTGGGTCCTTATAGGGCTATCATAAGAAGAGTACTTGAGTCCTTATATGGCTATCCTAGTGGGAATACTTGGGTCCTCAAGTGCTATACCATGGAGGTTGTCATGGCCATTGGCCATGATAAGTCTTAAGATACTCATTCATCCTTTCTTGCTTGTATAATTGTATAGTCTGCTTTGTCTTGTGATGCATTCTGCTTCATGTGCTTTATGTCTTATGATACATTCTGATTCTGATTATTCCTTTGTTTTTTGTTCCTTTTCTTCTCCTTTGGAATGTGTATATTTTTTTCGATATATAGAGAGATGTTTTTATACGCGTGTAATGTATGTTCTGAATGTTGAAAATAAAAGAAAAAAGGATGAAAAAAGGAAGTTTTAACAGAGATACCCTTAGATCCTCAAGAACTATACTATAGGGGTATCCTTGGATCCTCAAGGCCTGTCCTACAAGAGTACCCTTGAGACCTCAAGGACTGTACTATGAAAGCATCCTTAGGTTCTCAAGTGCTATAATATACAGGTACTCTTAGCCCCTCAACATCTATACTATGGAGGTACCCTTAGGTCCTCAAGTGCCATCATATAGGGGTATCCTTAGATCTTCAAGGCCTATATCATAGCCTATAGTATAGGTTCTGAGGGCCTAAGGTTATCCCCGTAGTATAGCTCTTGAGGACCTAAAGATACCTTCATAGTATGGTACTTAAAGACCTAAGGGTACTCCCATAGTATAGCTCCTGAGGACCCAAGTATCCCCACTAGGATAGCCATATGAGCACACAAGTACCTCTCATAGGATAGCCCTATAAGGACTCAAGTACCCCTCCTATGATAGCCATATGAGGACCCGAGTACCTCCGCTAGTGTAGCCATATGAGGACCCAAGTACCCCCGCTAGGATAGCTAGACGAGGACCCAAGAACTGTGCATGGTCGTTTCTTATCCATGGCACAAGCACTTTAACTTTTTTAAAGTTAAAGTGTTAAAATGTTCACTTTAATTAAAGTTTAAAGTAAAACACTTTAAACTTTAATACTTTTTTAAAATGTTTTTAAAGTTAAAGTGCCACTCTTATTCATTATGTCGAGTAGGATAGTGAGCAATGTTTTAGAGGCGAAGGCGCTTTCAGTTGAACGGAGAAACAAAATCGGTCGGTAAGTGGTACCAGATTCATTTTTGGTTGAGTGTGCAATGGATGACTTGTATAGATTGGTTTTTTAGGAAGGATTTATCGATTCACGGCCTGTCTGTTTCTCATAAAAGTAGCATGCGTTGGCTATTGCCATCTCACATAATTTCTGTGTTTAATTCAAATTATGTTAAATCTTCTTGACCTTTTCTGATTCATTCAGCACGTTAGGTATTAGTCCGCAAGATGAGTATTTTCCAAGCGATAGTTTTTTATTAATTTTAAATATCCAAACACGATTCATTGTATAGTGTGATTACTCATACCAGATTCCACTTCCATTTTATCAATTCTGAGATGAGAGGTATCACTAATCAACTAAGAAAGTTTTCAATCGCTTTGCAAAGACATTAGGGTAATTTTGCAGTTGAATTGTAAAAATAGAGCTTGATCGTCGAAGACAGAATTGCCATTCATCATGAAAACTACTTGCTTCTTGATATGAAATGTAATTGGAATTTAAATACGGCAATGAAAATTTGTCTTATCGACCCGGAGACGATGTGCAAAGTTTTATATAAAAGTATCGATTCAATAATGGCTATGCAATTAATAAATATAGAGAACTATTAGTACCACTAGCATGTATGAATAGAAGTTCTTTATTTTCATATTATATCAATCAAACTATGTTATCCTGATGTACTTCCTGAACTTTAATAGAAAAGCATTAGAGTCAATCAGAAGGTCTCAAAAACGTTTCGAACTTAAGTGTTAACTGTGATTCTTTTTTGTAAATAGTTCCTATCACAATATTACACAAAAGCGTCATTATTAAAACTATTCTTGATTTGAAAAACAATTTGTATCGTTTAAGTAGACAATCGCATAGGCTCTCAAAAATCAATGTTCAAAAATCCGTGTTATAAGTCAAAAGCATCTCTAACAGTCAGTAAACACAAGTTTTAGAGTACCTTCAAGCAAAGATGTACGATCAAAAAAAAAAGAAAGATTTAGTTTTTATAATAATAAGAAACTTATAATATATTTATTTTTCAGCAAAAAAACCCTTTTTATTGGTCAACCAGTTTATTTAAGGGTGTGGGTGTGACTGTTGCTATTAGAGAAAAGAATACTAACACCCACACGCATCCACGCCCACACTCTTTGATACTATTGTCGAGGCTGTTTATATGGAGGATAGCCTCCATAAATTACTGTTAAAAAAATTTTGAGTAAGATTGAAGCATCATTATTATAAGAATCATGTGAGAAAAATAAGCTTCTCACGAGCTTTCGTTAATCATAAAGTGTAATATCACCTGGAGGTTGTTAAGGATTAGAATTATAAGGATTTTGATATGGTTGTTGCGGTGGAACCTTTGGACCGCAGGGATTTTGATGTAATTGCTGCTGTGAAGGATTTTGATCGCAAGGGCTTCGATGCAATTGCTGTTGTTGAGGATCTGAACCATAGGGATTTTGATATGATTGGTGTCGTGGAGCATATGAACGGTACAGATTTCGATACAATTGTTGTTTTGATGGATTTTGATTATCGGAATTTTGATCATCAGAATTTTGATCATCAGGATTTTGATACGATTGTTGCGGTAGTGGATAAACATCTAGAAATTAAATAGATTAAATTTTGAACAAATTTTAAAGGATATTTACCTTGCTGTCGCGAATAGGAAGTTGATAATTGATACGGATTTAGATAATCTGTGTTACCTGAGATAGAAATTTGTATTTAAGCATTTTTTTAACAAACGAGAAAGGGCAGAGTTGGATAAGAACTTTTTTTTTGAGTCATCCTCGGTTTTCCTCTATTCATGATTTATCTAACGCAGAATTTCACGAGAAATCGTTTAGTAACAAATTAAAGCGATTTCTGAAGGAGCCAGACCCATTATTGCTCCAACTATTGATATTCATGTTTCTACCACAAATGGGTAATTTATTTATGAAACAGCGACTCGTGTAAATCTTCGCACACTAATGAATTTTCAACTGAAAATTTTGTCAATCGACTATCCATTCTATAGTCTATGTCTGGTAAAAGTTTTCGCTCGAGCGACTGAAGTGTTGCTAAGTAATGACGCAAATATTGTTCCAAATGACAGTGAAAATCATATAGTGCTGTCACAATTTTTATTCATTGCTGCTCACTGTTTTCTCAATATCTCGAGAAAGGAAAAATACGTCATGAATTTTTTGATTGGATTTGAAAATTGAAAGAATAACTGCAAAATCAGTTACTTGTCAGTTCTTCTGTTCAGTTGTATCAAAATGACAGTTTCAAATGAGATTTTATTCATTTTTCTTGAACATTGTGCCTTTCTCGAAGTAACGCTAATCTATGAATGAATTGGTTTAGACCGATTAAGAAAACGAAAATGTCCCATTGAATGGCAAACAACATTTGATTGATTTGTTGAGGAATTTCTGCTTTTCTCTATCTTCAGTTTAATATACTTACAGTTTTGTTGTTCTTCTCGAATATAGATTAGTCGATTCCAATCAATTTGATCATTATCAACAATAATGGTTTTATTTGTATCTTTTAGAATAAATTGTTGGAGTGTTTTTTGAATTTCATTAATATTTTCTTTAAGTCGATCAATATCATTTTCAAGAAAGTTTTGTTCTTCTCGTCGACAACAAATTTCTTTTGTGATTGGTTCAAGTTGATTTGTTATTTTTATTCTTTGTTTATCAATTAGCTCGACAAGTTCATGATGAGCTCTTTCTGCTGCTTTTTCTATTTTGTTAATTGTTATTTTTTTCCATTCTTCAATTTGAGCAAAAAGATCCAATGATAAATAATTTGATTTTTCTAATTTTTGTATTTGATCAAGAAGTTCATCGTGTGATCTAACTATTTCATTATCAAATTTCACTGATAGTTGTTGTTCATGTTCTTTGAAATCCTTCGGACAAAAATANATAAATCAGAGTCCGACTCAGATTAAGTTAGATCACAGTAATCTGACTGATATCGAATTTCACGTAAAGCAGAGAGCAATTCAGATGAGATCATTATTCGTTTTTTTTTTTAATTTTGAGAAAGCTCGCTTCTTAATCTTCGAAAAATATGTCGTTGACTTCGGATAGAGTCTTGAAAAATTGCTTCATATCGGGCACTAGTACAAATACATCATAGAAATAGACAATATGAATTCGTGCTTTTTATAACATAGAAAACACGTTAAGCTTTAGACGATTGAAGTTGAAAATTAGACGTCGAGAAAAATGGTGAAAATATGATCTCATGTTAAATTGCCTTTCGAGGAAATTCTGAAACGATGTGAAACTCTTTTCTCAAGAATGATTTGAACCAATTGTATCAACATGTTGATGAAATGTTAAAGATCTAATAAGACCTTTAAATATTTATTTTCACTAAGATGCATTTGGGCGAATAATGGATCCATGAAAATGAAATTCACCAATATTTGTATTATTAAACATTTGTTCAAATGAATATATTGATGGAAAACGATTTTGTACTATATGAATGTAGATTATTAATTGAAAAAAAAATCAGATAAACAATCCGAAGAAAAATTAAATTGAGTTCCAATATTAGAAGAATTTTCTTCAGGGTGGATGTAAGTGTGAAATTCGGTGAGCATTTCAACACACACACACCCACACTGCAAGTAATGTACGTTTTGTGTATATGGTTCGACTGCAGTATTTATGAAGTAAAGAACGATATCACAATAAAAGCGTACTTTTCATGAAAAGTACTGTTAATTCAAATAAAATATTCAAATTTTTTTTTATTGAAAAATTGCTCTACTTAAATCATTTAGATGAAAATACATGAACAGGAGAAAAAATAAGCAAGTCATTATCTGCGACCAATGTAGAAGTAAATATTTTGGAGGGTGTGGGTGTGGGTATGGGAGAAGAAAAGATGCACATCCACACCCGCGAAATCTCGACTTAAAACTTACACTCACTATTTTCTTCGAAAACATACGTGAGTTCCACAAAAAAAACAAAAACCTCGCATTTTTCCAGTTTAATGTGTTTGTTATAAACAATGGACACAAATGAAATTATATCCCACAAAACTTTAAAAAACATAGAATCATAAGAAGTTCTTAAATGTCAGTTGCTTTACTTCAAGTTTATTTCATTATTTTTCAACAGCAAAATTTTGAAACAACTTTTGATTCTTTCTTTATGATAAAACAATATTGATTCATGTGTATAATTCCATTCACTAAGAAAGGCTTGATCGATATACTAATATGACTCATTGATAGTATACAACTTCTATTGATAATCTGTAAACATTGCATAAAGAGAGTTGCGATGATTAGTGAATAAAATATCAACAAAATACGAATCGGTCATTTATTCTGCCGCACTCGTTACATGAAATTAGAAATAAGATTTCAATTTTTTAATGTCTTCAATACAACAATCAATCTTGAGAGTTGACTCGTTTTCAATTACCAAATCCTATGTACCTTTCCAAGATAACATTGAAAAAGAAAGAGTACCGAATTCTATGTTAATAGTTAATCGTCTTTCAATTATACACAAAGAATGTATTTGAATTGACGTAGAATTTTCTCAATAAGACTTCATCGAATTAATCACAATATTTTATAGCATGGGTACAGTTGTAGATGTGATTGTGGGTATCAAATGTCGTTCAACTCATATCCTTAAATGTAGTTCGTTCTCGTATGTAAATGTCATTGTATATTTTCTTCTAAAAATAGCCTGAAATACAGAAAATGTAATAAATAGAGAAAAAATGAAAAACAAACAATAATGAGAGAGGTCTTGCAAAAAAAACTACCTACATTTGATAAAATGTTATGATTCATTGAAAAATGAATACGTGACAAAAAAGTAACTAATTTCATCCATTATAAAATATAAAGCAAAATTAATGGCAAGAACACACAACAAAACTTGCATACTTCAATATCAATTAACTAGTATGTATACATGGTCCCTAACATAAAAATAGAAAAGAATTACAAAGAAGAAAGCATGAGAGAACTTGAAAATAGAGTATTTTAAGTAACAGTAAATCATGGTTAAAAGAGATCTGATTGACAATGCTTAGATCATACAATCGAGGAGCCTTAGTGGAAGCATATTGCATTACTAAAAAAAGTATATCAATCAGCATGATCTTTGTAAATGCTCACATTTTCACCTGAAATAATGATAGTAGATGACTTTTTATAGATTTTTTTAATGATGTTGAATATCGAAGTAAAAGATCTTCGTTTACAAAGTTAGAGAATCTCAAGGCAAAATTTTCTCATAAAAAACAGTCTATTCATTTTTCTAAATGAGTATTGATCAAAGAGTATAGAATTTTGGAGACATTTTTTGGAAATTAGGTCAAATAAAAGCATTCTTATGATCAAAGTATATAGGTAGATGACCTTGAACTGGTTTTGTATGCTGTAGTCATAGTTTTAAATCGTTCAAGGCAGTAATATGAGTGCAATCAGATAGGTTAGTTTTTTTTACCAGGAGAACCTTTAAGTTGTTTGTAGATCGTTATTTCGGGACATAAATTTTTCATGCTTTTCAGTTTTATATTATTTACAAAATGATCAGTAGGTTTCGATAATCTTTCATGATAAGTTCTACAATTTGTATCCATTAAAATACAGATTTTTGGAGTACGGATATGAGTGCCGTTCGAGACACACTTAATACTTATACTCACAGTGCTCAGTTATGAAATCATCTAATTCTTTATTTTGAAATATTTTAGTCGTCGAAAATTGAATCATGTGTGACACAGATTCGTCGGATGGTATTTTCTTCCAAGTACAAGAACTTGGCAGGGCAACAGTATCTTTTCCAAATGACGCCGACTCACGAGTACTGAATTTAGCCAATACAGAACTGGCCGATTCACCTGATTCGGTTCATATTTTCTGGTCTTATCCAGCTGGAGTCATGACATTGATCATTGAAACACCATATACAAAGCAATATCAACCATATACCATTTCTCTCGATACCGAACACATGCGACCATCTGTTGAACATATTTATCGACTGTTAGACGGTCGAAAAATAGAAATTCCGATCAACAATGCAAAAAGTATTCAAAAATCGGACTCTAATTATCAAGTCATTCTCGAATTCCATGGTCCACCACAAATGAAAACCTATGGAGTTAACATCAATTATGATATCTCTCCAAATTAAGAGACATAATTTTGTTCAATAAACTTTGACTGTTAACTAACTTCAAATATTAACTAAACATATATTGATTACTAACCACTCGCTTTTTTAGCAATACTCATAATCAATATTTTTCTTTATCCATCTATCAATATAAATTTCTAAAATTCAAAGCTATACAGAATAGACATACATTAGTATTAAAATATTCTAACGATTGTCTGTCAATGATTCAGCTATCCATCAGTAGATATTTTGTAATTTTATCTATGACTTTTTGTTGCAATATTTTTTAAACTTTGTATCACATTGGTGTTCTCCATAATTTTAAAAAGTATTTTTCGTTTATTGAATAGCCATGTATGCTATTATATTCAGTGGCAGGTCCTATAAATACTGGTAATATAATGACAAGTATGTACAACCTTGGTGAAGCGCATATTACACATTCAGATTTCTCCACAACGATTGTCTCTGACTTAACATTTACTGAGGAATACACGTGACTTTCCACGTGCAAATAAGCAAATGCGTCTTTTTGTATGACCTCTTCTTTAGTTTGGAAGAACAATATTCTCACAGTACAAAAATTGACTCATATTATCAGTAAATACTAAACGTGATCTCTCGATGTGTGCTTTTCAATTTTATATCAACTTCATAGACAAATTTTTTTCTGTTCTTTATCGGATTATAAAATGAATAATCATAGAAAAAAAATGGAAAAAACCAAGTTAATATTCGATGACGACGATATACAACACTGCAGAATAGGTTCTTTTGTGAAGCTAACTTCGTCATTTAAAACTATTGATCCTTTCATAACAAGAATTTTGAAAATGTTTCTTACAATTATGTATTGTTGTATTTCATTGATTTCAAGTTCGTTCTGAGCTTTATAATTATTTGTGTCGACTGATTGCATCTACTGAGAATCATCAACATCCTAACACTTTTCATCGCTTTTCATGAACCAATTGATTTCTCTTCAATTCAAGCCTTACATAAAGATGATATACAATTGGTTTGGATTAATCTACACTGGCAGAATGATGATTTGAGTTCATTATTACGTCAAATTGGTCCTTCATCCATTTTTTTTGATGATTTAACACCAGCCATTGAATATATATCGATGAACGAAAATTCATTACAATACTTTGTAATTGTTTCTGGTGAACTCTGTGAAGAAATGATTCAACTATCAGAACACCTATCTCAAATACATTTTGTATTTGTCTATTGTTTAAACTTAGCAAAATATCAACATTTGAAGGAAAAATCATTGAAGTTATTGACGATTTGTAGTTGACAATCAGAATTGAAAAAGCACAGAAATCTACATCTATTGCCATTGCAAGACAATATGCAATGTGTGATCTTAATAAATAGTTGGCTACATTTATGTGGTTTCAACTATCGTGACGATAAAAGAAAACTTTAAACATCTCTCGATGAACTTGAATGATATGATCCGTGTAATATTATCTTTTCGTATTCACGTCAAACATCACTCTCAAATATTTTCAATCAAGCATTAAGACGACAAGATATAAATGTCGACATTTTATTCGAGATTTATCACAAGCATTAGATGAATTACAACGAAAATTACCAGATACATCACGTGTTTATCGTGGAGCTGTCTTACCTAAAGAAAGTTTTAAGAAACTGAAACATATTGCTCGACAACGAAATTTTGTATCAACATGTTGATATTTATCAACGTCAAAAAATATTGAAGTTGTCAAAGTTTTTGTCAGCAATGCAACGAATGCTACTGATGCGAGTGGTATCTCAGTGATATTTGAAATTGATATAGAGAAAGATACTAATGTTATAGCTACTGATATTAGTCAAAAGAGTCAATTTCCTCTTGAAGAAAAAGTTTTATTCGATATAGATTCTACGTTTGAAATTTTAGAAATGACTACTGATGAAGAAAAGCATTTATACACTATTCGTATGCGAACATCAACATATGGTAGTGAATTAACCAAGGGGGAAACAGCGGATACTTCACGACTGAAGTCTCATGAAGTCTTGAAAGTCTTTCGAAGTCTTATGAAGTCTCTTGAAGTCTCTAAAGTCTCATAAAGTCTGATGAAGTCTCTTGAAGTCTCTTGAAGTCTTCTGGAAGCTTTGAAATACATTTCGTGCATGAAAATTCACAAGAAACCAATGAAATTGTCTTGTTTTCGACGGTCTTATTTTAATAGAAAGGTGAACTTTTTATTGTTTTTTTAATGCACTGGAAAAAATTCAAGCTTGTTTGATCTTAGAAAACATGATAATTAATAAGTGAATGCTTTTTGAATGAAGTGGTTTAGTTTTATAANACTTCATCGTGCAAAAATATAAAAACCATTGCTGACAAAGAAACGTACTGTTTGCAAACGTTGACGATTATGAAGAAAGCAACAGACCTTTTGCTTATGATTGCTGTTGTGAATGTGAAAGACAACCATACAGAAATATTGTGATGAATATTCATAAAAAAGTGAGAAAATACTACGTTATCACAGAATCAATAGTCATAATCATTTTGCGACTGGACGAAGGATTTTTTTTTTTTTTTTTGATTGTTGGTCTGATGTATTAGAACCTTTTACTCGGCGTCTTTAGACGGATTGATCACGGTTGAGAAAGTGGCTCATGTCGAAAGTGATGAACAATATTGAGAAATGATTGCATAAATGGTACCGATCATTCACTCAAATGGATTTTTCGATTATAACAAGTCATTCCCCACTACGTACTGTTATAAATCTTTGAAGATCCTATTCTATTACTAATAAAGATATCAAATATTGGAATAATCTATCATTGTTCCACCAATAAGTTTTTTCACTAACATAGAGAGCAACGATGGTCAGATGCGTAAAAATAATCGTCTTCACATTTTTATTTCATGACCAATCGAATTCGGTACATATTGATTGAAAACGAAAGAAGATTGTTCGATTGATTTTTAAACGTTCGAAATGACACTGTCTATTTTTAATTAAAGTTGCTGAAATAAAAAGAGAAATTCAAATGAAAATTGAAAAGGTCATTCAGATGATTCTTCATTGCACGATGAAACATGGTAGGCTATTGTAATAGAAATCAGAACTTTCAACTTCCACAGAAATATTCATGTCAAAATGTCATGATTGAAAAGCAAGAGGAGAGAAAACGCTGGAATTTGTTTTTTCATAATGAAAATACGGATCGAGATGATGTAGCGAAGCGAAAACAAAGAGAGTAAGCAATCGAAGTTTGGGTAATAGTGATCGTAGAAAGGTGATGGTTATGAGAAGTGGTTGACATTTCTATCCCATATGACATTTTCAAACTGTATTACCCATATTCATTCTCGATGTATAAATCAATGTCTGTCTACAATAAAAACCGAAATTCAATGTATACAAGTTCTTATTTTTGAATCAAGTAAGACGATGATTGGTGATAAATAAGAAAAGTATCACTGAACTATTTGATGAGCAAGACTGTATTCAATATTTTAGCAATACAGTAAAGTTATTCTTCGACATAAACACTTATCAAGTGATCAGTATGGATGTTAAGGAAAATTCATTTCTATTGAAATCGAAAACACAAGATCCATGTCTGATTGTATAATATTTATCCATAATGACCATCTGGATACAATTGTTTTCAACTTTTCGTAGAAATTTGCTAATATTTTCAAATGTGTTCAGTAGGTTTCAGAGAAGTTTCCGATGTCTAATAAACACGAATGACAAGAGAAATAAAGAGAAACTTTGTAAACTAGACAGATCATTATAGAAATGAGGTAAAATTGTGTTCATAGGAAGAAATCTTCTAAACACAACAAAGTTTTCATACATCCAAGTGAACAAAATAAATCAGAGACAAAATTAATATTCTTTCAATATTCAGTGAAAAACGATGAATTGGATTTAAGAAGAAATACAAGAAAAAAAAATGTTCGTGACCTATTATTTGTGTTACCCATCTTTCTGATCGAAGAAAAACAGACAGTGATTAGTGTGTTGTCGTCTGATTGCATCGGTGAATGTTTGACATTGACTGTCGACTAAATCTCAGTTGTACGTGCTACACAATGATAGATCACATATTCATGAATGATTTCCGTCTGTTACAGCTGAATTGCAACAATAATTAGCTTTGAGTCGAATTGAAGATTCTGATTGAAATGTTAATCGATGTTGATTTTTCGTCATTATTGAAAACTTATTGTTTTATAAAAATTGATGAACATGATAGAATGAATTTAATCAATCAAAATCTTATTGAAAGAAAACGCTGTAAATATCATCGTCGAATTTTGGTTCTATTTTGACAATGTAAATCGACTCTTATTTGGATTTTATTGAATATAGTTCATTAATATTCATTAATATAGAAAAAAATGATCAGATAACTTGAGAAACATTCGATAAATTTTCGTTATATTTATTGCTTTTCTCTGTTTTATTGATCAAAGTCTTTATCTCATTTTTCTAGCTTGATCAAGTTTTTCTTCTACAACTTTCTTGTGCGATAAGATTTTTCTCTTATATCAGTTCTCTTCAAATGTTATATTTTTCAATTAGCACTTATTTGCAACGTTCAACAGAAAATATTGTGCGTACAGTTTGAGTTAAATACAAACCTGACAAATATTGTTTTTGAATTGATTCTTTCGTTAACATCTCTTTTTGTATCATTTGCAGTCATAAGACATTTTCTCGATCTTCTTTGTACGTCGTTCATTGTCACTTATGATTTCATCCGATATTGTTTACAACTCGATTGTTGTCTTCTCTAATGAGGAGTACGTCTTTTCTTTTTCCTTCAACCTAATCAATCAATCAATATAACATTAGCGTAGTTAAGAGACGGATAGCTAGAAGACTTAGTCTTGGCATGATCAACTTGAGTTTTCGATAGATCTTTGGTTGCTGGGATGGTTGTTGCGAGAGAAGGAGAGCATCTCTTCTCACTGTCTCTTGCGAAATCGAAACTTACCAGGTGAATATTACTAATAAGTA